GGGAGCTTCTTATTTGAGTGCTGCTAGTTTGGGGACCAACTGTGTGTCAAGTTGTACATCCTGGCTGGAGCCAAGTCCCTGGCATGACTGCAGGTCCTTGGCGGACTGTGGGGTTGTATGGCAAAAGGGAATGGAAAGGGGAATGGGCACCTGATAACCTGCTTTTCTCTTGTTACTCCCACTTGCAGAAAAAAAGGAGGGCAGCCACTGCCCGTCGGCAGCACCTGAAGGTACGTGATACTGCTGGGGCTGGACGAGGTATGTCCCAACCATCCCATCTCCCATCCTGAGTCAGCCAGCTGTCGGCACTCTCCTTTCTGGAAGAGGCCATTGTGGCCTCTTCCTCTGGGGGCCCTCCACATCCTTCCCCACTCCTTACTGGGTTCCCATCAGTATCCCTTTCTTGGAGATGCTGGTATTGATGGGGAGCTCCCCCAGCTGCCTCTCCATCAGGGCTCTCTCTCCCTTGCCAACCCTCTCTGCCCTCCTCCCTTGCCCCCGCTCCATGCTCATCATCCTCCTGCTGCCTTCCAGAGTGCTATGCTCCAGCTCGCTGTCACCGAAATAGAAAAAGAAGCAGCTGCTAAAGAAGTGGAAAAGCAAAACTACCTGGCAGAGCATTGCCCTCCTCTGTCACTCCCGGGATCCATGCAGGAACTTCAGGTAAAGACTTCTTTAACCCTTCCACTGTGCTGGAGCAGAAAGGATTTGGGTCCATCAGTCAGCCTGGTGGATCTAGATTGTCCTTCCCATCTTGACCCCCTTCTCACCTGTGGGTGCCCTGGAGCTGGCTGGATGTGGAATTGGCTTGAGAGACAGCTGGAGTCTCTCTGCAAAAAAATACAAAAGGGGTCTAGCTGGCAGGAAAGCTGTGTTTCTAATGATGTCTTGAGGCGGCATTTGCATGAAGCCAGTAGCATGGAGACCAGGAGCTGGCCTGTGAGCCACCCTTCACCATTCGGTCTTGATGCAGCCTGGTCTTCTGGACTGAGGTCTTTCAGAGCCAGAGTGATCAGGAGAGATGAATCACATGTGTGGGTCCTAGTAGTCAACATCCCTCTCTGCTTTTCCTTCCAGGAGCTGTGCAAAAAGCTTCATGCCAAGATAGAGTCAGTGGATGAGGAGAGGTATGACACAGAGGTGAAGCTGCAGAAAACTACCAAAGAGGTGAGTTTCTCTTGGAGCTATCGCTCACTGAGGTCTCCAGCCCATCCTTTGTGCCTTCCTGTCCCGCTTGGGTGCGTCTCACGAAACCCACACCCTGCTCTCTCTCTGCCCCTCCCATTTTGTCCCCCCACAGCTGGAAGACTTGAGCCAGAAGCTCTTTGATCTGCGGGGCAAGTTCAAGAGGCCACCACTCCGCAGGGTGCGCATGTCCGCTGATGCGATGCTGCGGGCCCTGCTGGGCTCCAAGCACAAGGTCTGCATGGACCTCCGAGCCAACCT